AATACAGGGTGTTCTACTCCTGAAATAATATTCCAAGAAAATTATTTTTTCTATAATTTCTGTCTGAAAATTGTGCTGCGGCCTATACATGCGTAAATACGGTATATCATAAGATACAACTCTTCAGTTTATTTTGTTTCTGAAGGGGTTGGCAACCATATACCCGCAGGCGCCATTGTTCCCGCTCTCGTTCGTTAATGGCATGGTTGTAGTCCAGAGTCATCACATTCCAGCGTGGGAAGGAACATTCACATCACGGAGAAACACGCCTTGTCTATAGTTTCTTTCGCTTAACGCAGCTTGTTGTTTATGTAGGACCTATTACTCGCTCCAAACGCGTCGGTATTTGGCACAACTCTGATAAGTAGCTCTGCCTGGCATAACTTTCGCCGTTCTAGCAGATCTTAAAGGTTATTAATTAAATATAAGTGAATTTTATCTATTTATTCTTATATTTTGGTTCATTTGATGCATTTGTTTATATGGCTCTGCAAATGGGTTACCCTTGGCTGCATTTCGTCCAGTCGTTGCAGTACACCCTTGGTTTGATTGGTTTTGTTGTTGCTTCAGCAGAATTGAAAATAGTTGTCCATATTCCCGCTTATATGCCTCGTTTGGATATAGCGGTGAGGCCAAATGGTAAGTCTGGCCGTGTATCCGGAAACAGTATGGAAACCTTCCAGCTGCCGATTTAATCCCTGTACTCATTGATGCCGCAATCATTGCTGAATTCTCTGTAAGCATCTCTCATAATAGAGCCCTCAGATGCCGCGTTCCTTGGCGTTTCCGGAAATTCGTTTCACCTGGTGAGGAATGGAACCATACCTAAGCATTTTGTATGCATATGTGGATGGTAACAGCAGAACTTTGGGGAGTCATTCAGCTGGATGGGTCAGCAACTGCGTTTAAGAAATTAATTGATAACTATTTTTTTCTTTATCTGTGTTTTGATATCCGGCGCTGCATAAGGCGTAGTCTTGGCGGCCATCTTTGTTATTGAACCAACGTAAGGACGTGCTGCAGAATTGATACGGAATTTTGCACTCTTAAGTGTATCTCTGCTAATGTGTACTGCTTTGCCAGTTCTTGAGTGATTTCATAGGAGATGACGTAATAATAGAATTAAAACTCATATTCCTTGAACAATGAATGAAGAAAACAGTTCTGTTTTACCAGTGCTGAAAGAAAGCGTATGTATTAGTACAACAATAGTGTTGTATAATTAGAATGAGCAAACCAAGGAGGATGGTAGGTGCTGGGAATGTAGTACGAATGGGGAGAAGAGGAATGCATATAGAATATTGGTAGGAAAGCTAGAAGGAAAGAGACCACTAGGAAGACCAAGGCGTGGGTGCGTAGGTAATATTAAAATGGATGGGATGGTATGATATGGACTGGATTGATCTGGCTCCGGATAGGGACCAGTGGAGGGATTTTGTGAACGCGGTACTGAACCTTCGGATTCCATAAAGTGTTTGGAAATTCTTGAGTAGCTGTACAACTGGCGGCTTCTCAAGAAGGGCTCAGTTCCATGGAATTAATGTTGTAGTTTTTTTTTCCTTGGCACTGCAGCCCCAGTGGGCCTAGGCCTACTTCCATGAACTTCTCCGTTCACTTCGGTTTTTCTAGATCTTACACATTCTGTAGGACTCCTTGGGCGGGTGATCAGCTCGTCGCAAGGCCTCTACTTGTACACAAACAGAAAAACGCACACACAAACTAAACATCCATGCCCTGAGTGGGATTCGAACCCACGATCCCGGTTTCCAAGCGAGCGAAGACAGTGCATGCCATAGTCCGCTCGGCTACCGTGACCGGCTCAGTGTTCCCTACTATGCGTAATTTCTCTAAAAGAAATCATGATTACAAATAAAGCTGGTGGTATCAGTGGTACGGCTACAATATATTCAGACTCGTGTTGTAGTAGAGTACTCAGTTAAAAGGAAGAGAAAATTTTGACGCAGTGCAAACCGAGTAAGCACTTTCTCTTGCTTTTTCATAATGGCAGTTGTGTTAGAGACTTATAGCTGAATTTGGAAGTTCGAAAATGTGCTTGTAACACATCCTTTGTTTAATTATCTCGGAAACTATAATGTTTACGGAGAAATTGTATGGGACATAACATTTTTGTTTGGTTCTTCTCTTCAACTTTCCTTCGATACATTTTTCTTTACGATAAATTTTTAGCGAACTCTGCGCAGAAGCACATGTAAAGTCACCGTTAAACATGTCGGATCGAAATGGGAGGGCTGTAGAAGGAGGTGTTAGTCGAGGTATCATCTCAGAATTTGCCAGGAGAAACAGAACGCCCACTATTGAGATTAGTGTACCTGGCGCCGTTCCGTCTATGTTAAACTTGGCGTTCTGACCAGATTACCTAAGCAACTGCGCCCTGCTCTTGTTGTCCCTCGTACAAGGCGGATGCACACTGCTCTGTGCGAAATAGACGCGCGAGAAGAAGGCAGTAACCACAAATAATGATAAAAAGGGCGTAAGAGCCTGTGTCAGAGTATCGGAGTATCTTTCAAAATGTAGAAGGGCGTGGTAAGATCGTGAAGACGTTAACCGGCCATCGGTGGATTTTACTCTCCATCGACTGCTCGTTGTAGGTGTTTGAGAACATGAACAGACTATGATACAGTAATAGTTCTGAGCGACCATATCATTAAATCATTAAGTCGCTGATTATTTTCTTTTTGGTTTTCTTAAAACTGAAGTAACTCAACACCGTGTTTATCATGTTTGGTTTTTTGCCATTCTCTTCAATACGTCTTCCTTCAGTCACTACGGAGAAATAATTTACTTCAGTTATAACGATGTTTGTATTTAATACGCAGTAAACCCACTTCACATTGGCTACCTGTCCTTCCCTCGTAAAGAAATATAAATTTTATATTGGTTATCCTTGCTCCTATATGGAAACCACTGAAATATGTTATTAGTCCTGTTGTTCGTGGAACTGTTTTTTGTTATTAATTCCCGGATTACACTCAAAATGTGGACGGTGATGTCCAAAGTTTATATATAATCTTGCCAGAGCTTTTTTTACTTTACGTCCTGTTCCGACCAGATCTCATACTCAGGAGATTCTGGAGACAGCTGGAGACAGTCTCTGTATCATCTCTTTAGAGATTCCATGATTTAGTTACATGTGAAGCATTTTACGATAACATCCTTAAATCTGGAGATAGTAGACTGTAGGTTAATAAATCTATGTTATGAACGAAACCTGTACTAAGTTGATGGAGTTTTTTTATTGCTAGTGGAGTGGGGTTAAGTCCGCACGGCTGATCATCCCTCAGCGGGGGGCAGCCAGTTTCTTCCGGGACCCACTATTGCCCTGGGTCCGTTTTTTCAGCTTTCCGTGGCCACCTGCGTGTAGATGCCGGCCCCTTTGCCGTTTCTTTATTGCTCCAAAAGATTTCACTGCGACCTGTTCAATAGGGACCTCCACATGCAATGCTATGGACTTCTGTTTTCCTGGATTTGCCTCCATCTTTGCTAGACAGACATCCAACATGACCTTCATCTGTTCCTGGTTTGCATCGATCCGGGAGGCGAGGGAACCCACCTGAGCTTTTATCTCCTCTTTGTCCGCCGTCCATCTTTTCTTGAAAGGCGTCCACCTTGGCTTCCACTCTTTCTTGATGGGAGACCATCTTTTATCTCATGGTTCTCTTTTCTTCTCAGTTGGCTCTTATTTCAGTCAGCAGGAATGTCGTCATTTATTCCATCTTCGAAGTGCTGTGAAATAAGTACACAATATAATCATCAGTCTAATAATCAATCAGTCAATCCAATCCCACTTCTGACGTAAAATTGTCACGTATTAGGGGTGCATGACTTATAGACGGGTTTTGGGTAGGATGTACTGGATTTATTGACACCTTATACACTCGTAACTACAAGTAATACAGCGCTATCGCTGATCTACACACTTTGTAAGTCACTATGACAGGCTGAGTCTTCTCATTCTTCACTAGTCGTATCCTGGCAACGGATTTATAACAGACTCACTGTCACTGAAGGTAATTATGAAGTCTTCTTTGCACAGCCTAATTCCTTTCTTGCCGTTTCTTTTCAAATTTTCTACCAACTGCCAGCTCCGGAGACTCTCAGTCCTAATCATAGTTAGAGCCAGAATCTTTGAGTCAACCCTCTTGAGAATCACGACCAATATTTTTTCAACTGAATACTTGCGGTCATACTCCTTACGTAACATTCTATCTGACGAGGGGATGGGTCTGTCGTTTACAGTTGCTGCTGGCCCTCGCCAGAGACCTCATTATCGGGTCCGAGTCGTTCGGGACTCATGACCATGTTTTAATGTTTCAGACTCGAGACTCCCCCAACTTGGAGTGCTTGGTCCCCGTATTTATATCCCCCAGGAACAGATTGGCCTAGTTGGGCGGCCCCCGCAGAAAACACCACTTCCCCTATTGTTGCGCGCGTTCGCTTCCGCGGGAACATGTTTACCGAGCCGTTGCCTAGAAATGAACTATTCCGTTCTCAGGCGTCATGTAACAATGTTAATTGGAACATTCCTTTTCAGATGTTGAAAGGAAAACGCTAAGTGATGAGGGAAGAGTTCAAACTTGAATTCAGAACTTGCATTACTGCGTCGAATGGCAGAAGAGTAAACCTGTCGCCATTTTATAACGTTATCACAGTCAAAATCAGCTCAACAGAAGTCGGACGTGAAAGCAAAGATGGTTCGTCATCCAGTGTATTTTATTCAATTTCAGTTAATGAATAAACTACATAATGAGGAGCTTCATAACTTGCACTCTTCGCCGTCATGCAGAGAATACAAAATTTGACATCCTCCGGTATTTATGATTGATTCCGTTATTAGAATGTGGTTTCATGTTCCAGAAGAGCCGAAACACTGCAGCTCTACTCAAATTCAACTTATTATGTGACTGATTGTCCTTTCTATGAGTTTGTGGAATCATATTTTATGAATCAGAAGCTTATGAATTTTCTTCTTTCTGTTGCAGAACTTGGAATTAATCCGGATCACATCATGCAAAAGGTCAGTGTCGAACCCCACGCCTTCCAGAGAAGAATGAGTGATTATTGTAATGTCGTTATACTTTATTGATTTCATCATATTTCGAAAACATGTTGTCCCTCTTAATAGCAAGAGTTTACTGTTTTTTTAAAGCTTCTTCCTGGTTAAAGTACTCGACGTTTAGGCAGGGAAAGTCGTCAGATAACGCCCGCCTCTTGCGTTTCTTTCATAACCAAAGATGACTATGAGAAGCGTAACAAACGTGAGAGATGTGTGGCATGTATTCCTTAAAACCGGATAATTACAGAGTTCTAAAGTTTAGGAAAGCCTGTGTGACATTTTTTTAAATTAATGTATGATTAAAGTCGAGGATGAGATGGGCAGAGCATGAAGCACGAATGGGGGAGAAGAGGAATGAATATAGAGTAATGGTGGGGAAGCCAGAAGGAAAGAGACCACTGAGAAGACCAAGGCGTAGGTGGGTAGACAATATTGAAATGGATCTTAGATAGGATGGGGTGGTATTGATTGGATTGATCTGGCTCAGGATATGGACCAGCGGAGGGCTCTTGTGAACACGGTAAAGAACCTTTGGGTTCCATAAAATGCTGGGAAATTCTTGAGTAGCTGCACAATTGGCGGCTTCTCAAGAAGGCCTCAGCTCCATGAGTGAGTGAATATGCACGTAAGTGTGATTTGACGATATTAGTAACCAAGGGCTAAAATACTGCCTGCACAGGCTTTCAAGGCTTCTCTCTTTACGGTTACCCTCTGTTACATGGTACCAGCATAATATCGGGAGTAGAGGTCTACATAAGCATTAACATACATGTATAACGGAATCTAATAACATTAAAAAACACCCAGATATTGCGTATACCATTCTCTGGTAACGTTAAGTTGCTTCATCGTGCTGTCAAACATTACCCCCAGCAAACAGCGTATTTTCATTCTGAGATTAAATCAACTGATTTGCTTGCATCTGTTTAATAACGCTCCTCTTATCTGGCCAAAGTACCACGCGGTAGCATAGTTGGTTGAGGCACTATGCTACAAGCCGGAAGGTCAAGTCCCGATGAGGTCATTGGATTTTTTTTTTCAATTGGCTCAACCCTTCCAGCCTCTAACAGAAATAAATACCAGGAATTTTCCTGGGGGCTAAAGTGCGGCCGGCGCTTAATGCTGACAACCTTACCACCATCTGAACCGATTGTCAAGATAATGTTGGACCCTCAACGACGCGCTACCGTATGGGCCTCCGAGGCCTGTTACAGGGATACCTTTACCTCTTGCATATCGTTCTTAAGGAACATACGCGACGTACTCAGCCGCTCAAAAAGTCTCAGTTTTAACAAAAATTTAAATTTATTTCACGGTAGAACGAAGCATCACTTCTTCGGAACCTCTTCACAGATTAATAGTAGCTCCCCTGAGATTGACTTACGTGTTATACCAATTGAGTACTTCACCTGCTGTGTAAGATACAAAGAAGGGCGGTATTAGGAGACCCACGATAATGGCGATTTTCCCTTACTGCAAAGTTTACCGAACACTCGTGCCCGAAATAACGCGGTGTAATTCTTTTGCTGTTGAGGACTACAATTAAAATCCCACGTGCTAATTATTAGAAATCAATTAGAACTGAAGTTTCCTGGACTAAAATTAAAAGTAACAGCAGAATTTTGCATCGATATTTTCTCAGCGGTGGATGCGATAGTTTTATTGTTATGAACCGGCCAGTTTAGGTGAGGGAATGTTTCCTTCCTACCAGATATAGGGAGAATACCATCATGTCTGAATGATAAAACCTCTCCTGTGAGAATGGAGTATACAACCATCCCCTCTCCAGCTTCGTCGTCATGAGTACTATTCACTTTAGTCCGGCAACTCATTGGCATGGCATAACTATTGTATTATCTAGAAATATATCAATATATTGCTTGTATAGGACCAGATTAATTGTTTTATGGTTGTTACGTGTTTACTACAGCTACAAGTACCTGTAGGGTCAGGAGTTTTGTTGCTCACATTAGTAGTTACGAGGTTAGAGTTTGTTAGTGACGAGATGTATATGATATTAACCAGTTGCGGTGGTTCGACGTGTATGTTTCGTCAGGGATTTAAATCGTCTGGGGG